GGGAGCAGATCGTGCTTCCTTGAAAGTATTTGAGGTCATGCATGAGAGACTTCTTTTCTCCTCTCTGTAATACCCAGCACTCCCTCACAGTCTTCGTCTCTTCAAGAAAACCTCCTTAAGTTGTTACAAAACTTTTTATAACTACAAGATGTCGTGATTATTTACATGTATATTGATCAGTTTCTTTAGGACATGCTAGTCAGACAGCCGTAAGTTCTATACGGTTCGTATAAGAAGTTTCTGGACCACAGTGTGTTTTGAAAGACACATCAGGAGTATAGGAACCTTAATGTAAGACTAATTGGACCCTGTTTTGGGGCACGTCTGCAAGGCTCAGGGTTGACCCAGCTGAAGTGACACCTCTGTTCGGGCCCCACTGGAGCACTTACTATTTCCCCAATGCACCGTGTGCTCTCAGGCCTCGATGGTGGCTCAGGCTGGACTCTGCCTGAAGTGTTATCCTGTCACTTGTCCCAGTGACATCCCACTTATCTTCCAAGGCCATATTCTCTCTGACTTCTACTCTTTAGCCTTCCCTGAAGCACATTTCTCGTGGCACCCTCTTGTCCAAGCGTCTACTCTAGCAGTTGTTACGTGGTTTTATAGCTCTTGGGGTTTATTATATCTATCTGCCTTCAGTAATTTTTTTGAGGACAGTATTTTCATTCTTTTTGATGTGCCTAAAATCAGTTCACTCAGTATCTGTTACTTGAAGGTGCTCAATAAATATCTGTTGAATGGGCAAATGAATTGATGCATGTTTCATTCTTGAGTATTTGTCTTCCTCTGAATTTCTAATAAAGCAGATTCTTCTTGGAAAATCGAGTTAATTCATATTGGCAGTGCTACATTTATACATGGATGTTGTCTAATATTTTGAGTTTGATAAGTAATCATTTTGTGATTTATTTAAAATAATTATGAGTATAGGAGTGTATAGTATTTAGGCAAGAAAAGACTTATTTGGCGTGCTCTTTGGTTTTGAATTCTGTTTCTGTTATGTGGGTTATTTCTTTATTGGCATGATGAACTGTCAAGAGAAAATACCGTTTGCTTCAGGCAAGTGGTTTGGTTTAATTTGTCATCTGAGTGTCACTGTAGCCCAGAATTCTAGAAAAACTAAGGGAATTCAAAAGTAAAAAAAAAATGTAATATGAGGTTCTTTTATCGTTCATGGATTATAGAACAAGTTAGTCAAGATTCCTAACTCTGATAACTTTATTTTTGAAACACTTGTAGCCTTGCCTCTTGTAGCAGAGTTTGCACATTAATCATGATGTTCAGTAAAATGTTACGTGGGTAAAATATTTAGTAAACATCATTTGGTAATCTAAGAAGCAATGATACCATCTCAGCCACTGGTCATCAATTAGATGTGTTGGGTTTTCCTGGAATTCATGTAATGTTAGCCAATATGCAGTACTTGCTCTGTGCAAAATAATTCATTTTACAAAGAACTTACTGAGTGCCTACCATGTGCCACAAGTTCTGTGTTGCTTAACTCAGGAAACACAGAGTGAATGAGAAGCAGCCTTTGCCCTCAGTGAACCTGTAGGCTGTTAGGGAGATTAGATAGCTATGTGTAATGTAGCTGTAATGTAAGTTCTGCAAGATACTGAATCTGGTTGGGAGAAATAGGGAAGACATCTTGGAGCAAGTAGCGTTTCATCTGGTTAAGATTTCAATAGATAGATTGTGTTCACTGGACCTTCTCCAATTACAAGAAGCAGAGCTTTGCTGTCTTTCAAGCCCCCTCACTTAACGTGTTTTACTATAAGGTTGCACGGGAAATAGTAAGAAGGGCAAGAAAGCAGTCTCAGCTGCCACCCAGGCGGGCCTCGTGGAGAACCAGACACTAGCTCTGAGGACATGAGAGCCCCTCTGTTGTGTTACTAGAAGTGAAAATGACTGCTGTTCCCTTCTCCAGTGATCTGCACTGTGTTCACTTAGCTTTTCTCTCTTTGCCTCTGCAGCCAAGGTAGAGTACATGTGTATCCCTTTTTCATTCCTCAAGAGAGAAAATCTGTCTTGGCTAATCTCTGTTCAACAAAGAACATGCTCTGCCCAAAGCTCCTGCCAGCCACGTCGTAGGCTTCTTGCCCACAAGTAGATCCCTGCTTTTAGCCTGGGGACTCATCCCTGGTGTAATCAGTTGTGGCCAGTGCTGTGGGGTCACATGATATAGAGCAATGCTCTCAGACTTTTAACATGGGGACGAAAATGCAGGCTCTGGTTCAGTAGGTCGGGGGTGTGACATGAATTCTTTGTCTCCAACAAGCTCCCAAGTGTTGCTGATGCCGCCGCTTCCCCAGCTACACTTTGAGTAGCCAGCGTAGAGTGTGGTGACCTCTGTGTGAACATGACTCAGGAGGCAGGCACTCTGTGTGGGAGGGCTGTGGCTGTGAGATGGCATTTCGTGTGGAGGAAGATGCAGTGTTCATGTCTACAATTTTGAATATGGTTACGGTTGGAATGAATAAGGCATCTTCAAACCAAAAAGTCAGTATTTAAACAATTCAGGTGCAGTCTTTGAATAACAAGGTGGTTGGGATTGGTGATTAGTCCTTGTATTATTTTAATCCAAAGCAAGGCAGTAGTTATTTTAATGTTTTCAGTGAGACAGTAAGCAGGCGAGTCTGAATTTAAATTATTTATCTTCACTTGAGAGCTTGCTGCAAAACTCCTTTCATAGTTTGCAACCAAGTCTGTGTTGTCTGTGAGGGTCGGCAGTGAAACTTAGTTGTTTATTATGTGAAGTTGGAAGCCAGAGTCCCTGGGAAGGACACCGAGTATTGGATTCCTTATCATTCTTAGGAGAACCTACATTTCTAATTGTCTTCATTAGAGATCCATAGATATGATAGTTCAGCACTTGGTCACAGAGATCCTTGAAGCATTATAATGCCTGACATCCTTTGAGTTAATCCCAGTTTCAAAGCCCCCATTACAGTCATTCTTCTACTATTCATTTCATAAGTATAATCTAAGACTGATTGAAAACCAAAGAGGTTTGTTTTTTTTTTAATTTAACAATGCTAGAGTTCAGTAATTTAGAATTATGTATAATGTCTAATGGGAGAGAACGGAATTAAACATTCCAGCCCTTCTGACGTAGTGGCAGAAGCAGGAGGAAAAGTGAGTCTTTTCGACTTCCCCGTTTCATTCATTACATTCAAAAATTACATTCACGTAGGCCCCAATGTGATATTCACATGTATTCTTCATTGTTTTAAGTGATCTTTTTACATTGCTTTATTATCTGGAGTTTACCCACTTCGACTCATTCTTCTTACTTTAAAAATAACTTATTTTAACTTTAATGATCAGAAAAGGCAAAAATGGCTATTTTAAATGACTAAATAGTATCATCCTTTTTAAAAAAAAACAAACAAGGGGTCTCCTAATTTATGGGAGTAAAATCTTGAAAGGGATTTTCAAAATTCACCTTATGTTGATAGTCATATAGAATTCTGATTTACTGAATAGATTAACCACATGACCTTCTTTGACTTTTACACTTTGGTTTTCAGTCATCAAAGCAAGAATGCTGTTTAGTATGAGGAATTGTTTTGGCACAATGAAAAGAAGGCTGGCCTTGAAGTCAGACAACTTTACTTGCTATGTTTCTTTGGGCAAGTTATTTAATCTCTGTGAGCATTAGTTTCCTCATCTGTAAACTTATGATGTTCATATCGACTTTACAGCATTATTTTGTTGATAAAGATAAATTATGCGTGTTATGCAGCAGTATAAACATTACCATATAACAGCATTTTAATAAATAAACGTGAAGAGTTTTAGAGTTTTATGACAAAATACTATTTTGTTTTGATATAAAGTAAAAGAGAAAGTATTTTTGTTACTCATATTTGCATAGGAATAACATTATCTATTCTTGACATAGATGAATACTGCCGTGCTTTGAGGTATAAACATAAGAGCTGATTGTAATTGCCACTCAGTTAATCTATAGATTGGAACCACCATTGTCAAAAAAGTGGTTTTCCAAAAAAGAAAGTAGTGATATTGTATACAATTTACCAAAAGAAATTCTAACTAATCTTCAAAGTGTAGTCAGTAAATTCAATCATGCTCAGTGAAGTAATTTGCAGGAGCACAGAGAATAGTCAGTTGTTTATAGTGAGACATTTTATTAATTCACTTTAATCAAACAGAACTGGGAAAGTCAAGTTATGCTCATGTTCTTAGAGAGTAAGGACCAGAAATATGGTGACAGAATGGGATGCTGCACTGTTATTCAAAATACAGGAAGTCAGATAAAGTGTCTTTCATGTCAAGTGGAAGACAGATATTTTCAAAACATACACATGCATTTTCACATACACCTCCACATGGTGAACATACGAAGACATCTTCTGATGGTTTCCTAGGGTACAGGCCACAGGACCACCATACGTATATATTTCTAATAAGATCCTTTATATTATTTTTATAATTAACCTCCCTTAGATTAATAGCAAACCATGGATAGCCATTATCATAGCAAATGCTGGTATAGTAGTTTATTTGCTAGTGCATTTTTCATTTGATGAAGCATCTGTGGAGCTTTGATTTTATAAAAGTGAATGAAGCCATTGGTAAGAAGAGCGATGGAAATGCCTGGAAAATTGGTTCAAGGGACAGGCGAGTTCAAGGGCAGAAGCCTGAGCGTGGATTTGGGGCATTGTGAGCCTTCAGATTTTACTCTGTGCTTCAATCTAGGGGTTTTTCTTACGGCCAAATTGATTTCCAGAATATCCGAAGGGTTTAATTCTAGTGTGGTCTACAAACAGTCAAATCACCCATGCCAAAGCAATTCTTTCCTCCTTTAATAACAGAACAGTCATATCTTATTCTAGTTTCAGTTTTGTACAGGGGGAGGTATTTTAAATTTGGACCAATTATAACCTTTTAGCTAATTTCCCTAAGCATCACCATTCTTATCTTTTAAGACAATTTAATATATCTACTAGTACTTAATATTACTTTTCCTTATGCAGATCCAGTGCCCCACTTGCCAATTCGTCTGGTGTTTTAAGTGCCACTCTCCTTGGCATGAAGGTGTTAACTGCAAGGAGTACAAAAAAGGAGACAAATTATTGCGTCACTGGGCCAGCGAAATTGAGCATGGGCAGAGGAACGCCCAGAAGTGTCCAAAGTGCAAGGTGAGACAACCTTTGGGAGGGAAGGAAACAAACACGTGCAGCTGGCTATCACTGAACGATACTATTTACAATATTGAAGTGAAGTCTCTGTATAACTTTCTTAATGCAGACGTAGAGAAAAAGAATATTTGCTGTTTCATTTTAGAAGAGTAATTACATTACGTAACTAAAATGAAGATTTTTATATATAAGCAATGTATATTCTTACATTTCAGAATTTAAGGGGGCTATGTATAAATATGGATCTTAAACTTCAAAATTCTAATTTTCCATTTAAAAATGGAGATATGTGTACAGGAAAAAGCTCATATGAAAATGATATAAAGTATTATTTCTAGTTTGCCAACATGTACTATAATCACGTCTCAATTAGGTAGGCTCTGAATCCTTGTAATCCTTTGGGATTTTTCCCCTCTGCCATTGCTTATCACTTTAGGATTACATTAAACTGGTCATTTCCCTTTTTGTAAATCTGGTGATGTAGAAGCTAAGAGCTAAAATCAGGACTTTATGAATCCCATTTTTCAGTTTTCTCTTGATGATTATGCAAGTAATCAAGAGTTAGCAGGCATTTGAGCAGAGACCTAGATGTTGAAAGTCAACCATGCAGACAGCCAGGGAGCGATCTCCTATAGACAAATCAGCGCGTAAATCCAGCCAGAAAACTTTGGATTTGACTCTTACAGGATAGGGGTCTGTTGAAGTTGGAAATTTTTTTTTTTTTAAAGCTCACTTTAGAAAATTATATGTATGTAAATGCATATGTACACTCCACCATGTGTGGTTTCCATTTTGTGCCAAATTTATTTTTGATTATCATGTCTAAACCGGGCCTAATTTTCTTTCAAGAATAATTTTGCAATTCCTTCCAGGAGACTTAGCACCAACATAAATGAAATTTGAATTATCAGGAAAATTTTTTAAATTAATCATGTGAATGCAGCTTGAGGTAGTAGAAGTATATTCTGAAGCCTATAAATGAGAATAAATATAATGCACAGATTCACTACACCAAATTCACATACTAGTTTATGTGTATAGTAAGTAAAGCATTGCCTGAAATACATGTTATGTTCTTAGCAATTGGAACATGTTATGTTCTTAGCAATTGGAAGAAATTTTTGAAATAGTTTAGATGGCCTGGCTCTTAAAAGTGACGTCTACAGATGTTTGAGTTAAAGCTTTCTTTGTTTTCCATGTAGAAGGCAAATTCATTTACAATTATCCCTTTGATTTTTTTTTTAAACATCTTTACTGGAGTAAAATTGCTTTACAGTGGTGTTTTAGTAAGGCTGCTTCAGATCACTGCATCAATTGCTCCGTAGATTTTTATTTTTTACCCATTGAAGAACAATGGGAAGATGAGGCCTTTCCCCCTTGCTGTTGCCTTTCCAATTTACTCAGAGGTACTGCTCAGTTTCAAACTAAATAAAGGCCAGTAGGAATTCAGGAGCGCTGTTTTAAGTCATTCTGCTTGACACTTTGTTCTTAAGTATACTTTATATCTCTCTGGAAAGCTGTGAAACAATTACCAATTGGCCTGGCTCTAAGAATGAGCGCTAAATGAGGACTACTGCAGCATTATATGTTAGGGATTTTCTGAATGAGTTGAGGTAATACATAAAAACATACATTTGTTACTGTAATCCCTCAATCTAACATTAAATGAACTCGATGTATTGAAAGAAAAAGCACCCAGCTGTAAGGAATTTACTGAATGCACTAACAGCTCCCACAGGTTTTACAAATATAGATAAACAGCTAAGAGGACGCATACATGCTGGTTCTCTTTCGAAATAATAGCTAAAAGGTTGAGGTTTGAAAATGAACTACCTTTTAAACAGCTGAAGGGAAAGGAGCCAAAGAACCCTGGAATGAGTTTACATGACTACCTTGTAGTGGAGAATCTACTTGCTGGTGAGATCCAGGTTCCATAAAATTTAGGTCAGTTTAAGTCATATTTTATGACTCGTTTTGAATACAAATAGTTTCAGGGCTTTTATAAGCATATGACTTTAAAGTTTTGCACTTTCTTAATTGTGATTTTTTTGTCATTGTTTTTGGACCATAAAATTATATTGTTGCCCATGAAGCCTCTCTAATACTAGAAATCCACAAGGAGATGTTATTCAGTGTATTAATATTTTATATTCCAAGGCTTTATTTTTATAAATAATCTTTTAAAATTTATAAATATGAAAAAGGAAGATGCTAGGAATTTATGAAAAAAATTTCACACAATGCTTCCAGGTGAACAAAAGAATTATCATATATTTTCATATGAATATGTTTTCAATAATGATCAAATATGTTTAAAATTTTGTTGTGACCAAAGTATATTTATGTACCCTGCACAGGTGTATTTGCTTAGATTGATTCATAATTTTAATAATTATTTTGATTTTTTTTTTTTTTTTTTTTTTTTTTTTTGTGGTACGCGGGCCTCTCACTGTTGTGGCCTTTCCCGTTGCGGAGCACAGGCTCCGGACGTGCAGGCTCAGCGGCCATGGCTCACGGGCCCAGCCGCTCCGCGGCATGTGCGATCTTCCCGGACCAGGGCACGAACCCGTGTCCCCTGCATCGGCAGGCGGACTCTAAACCACTGCGCCACCAGGGAAGCCCTATTTTGATTTTTAAATGATTGTTTTGTTCATAAATGTCATATAACATATGATAGAAATTTGGAAAAGAGAGGGAAAGAACTCACCAGAATCCTGCCACTCCAGTATACTCACTGTTAACATATTAGTGTCTCCTCGGTCTCTCCCCTATTTAAGTAGCTTTAAAAAAACTAGAATTGTAATATGGGGATAATTTGATATGCTTTGTTTTTCCATTTAACATGTCAAACCTTTCTTATGTTACTAAATAGTTTTTGTAACATTTATTAACTAAGTGATATTTGCTTAAATATCCTTCTGCTATTATTACCAAAGCTGGCTTTGTTGGGGTTCGGGGTTTTTAAAAAAATATCTATATATTATAAATAATGTATTGATATTCATCTTGAATATGTATTTTTCCATATTTTGGACCCTTAAAAGCATATATTCCTGAAGACAGAATTACTAGGTTAAAGGATATCAGTGTTTTCAGTATTTGGTACATAGTGCCAATTTGCTTTCTAAAAAGACTGAAACAATTTATAATTCCACCAGAAAAATCTGAGAACCTATTTCTGTATGATCATTTCTTATTAGCATTTCAAGTATTTTTAAATGCATATTTAATACTTTAAAAATATTTTGTTCTTATATTTTGAATTGTCTTGTTTGCTTTTAGATTGAGTACAAATTCATGTATTTTTGAGTTTGGAATGCCCCTTTTTGAATTATCTGTTCATATCCTTTGCCCACTTGTTTGGGTCAGGTTGGGGATATTTTTTATTATCAAACTATATGAGCTCTCTATTTTCTATTTGAAAATATTAATTCCTTTTCTGACATATTTTCTCCTATCTTTTATTACTGTCTTTTATATCAGTGATAATTTTTTTTAAACTTAATTTATGTATGTGCATTTTTTTAATTTTTAAAAATTTGTGTTTGACCAAATATATCATTCTTTTTATTTTTGGAAAAAAAGAACACACACACATAAACACACACATATATATGATATGTGCATATATTTATATTTATATATCTTTTATAAATGTTTTACTCCTAAGCCTAAAAAGTTATCTATCATCCAGAAGCTTGATAAATGGTCTATTTTCTTTCTTTTTCGTATTTAATTTCTAAATATTTTAACTCTTTGATCTACCCATTACTTATTTTGATGTTTATTATGCATTGGATACATACACTAATTTTTTCCAAATTAATAGCGTCTAATCTAAATGTGTCCCCCTACCCACTGATTTGTAATTTTTCTCTAAACATATGTGAAATTAATATATATAAGAGCTCTTTTCTGAGCTCCCTAATCTTGTAGCTGCTAAATTCTGTGCTTGTACTGGTGAGTGTTAAATGATTATGCTTTTGTAAAATTTTCCCATCCATACAAGGTTTGATAATCAATTCATTATTTCAGTTAGTATTCCAAATAAACCAACTTTTCTTTCATTAGCTTATAATTACTATTTATCCTGTAATGAGTTTTTATCTTTATCTCAAGTGGAAAGATCAGTTTAATAGATGGTATAGTATTATGAAGAGATTTGACTTAAGCTGAGAAATCAAAATTATTATTTATAATTGAATTTTGGCAGACAATCAGAATGAGTATTAAAACATTTTTTTCCCATATACAATCAAGATACTTATTCATAAGTGTGTTTTTTTAATACTAGGGTAAAAATATACAAGCATTTATGGAAGTCATTTATAGGACATTTTTATGAAAAATTAATAGTAGCATAGTAAGATCAACTTTTCTTAGCCATTTTTTTTGAGTCTCATTGCTTCCTTAATTCATAGTATTCTTCAGTCACTTGTGAGACACCAATTTTTATCTTAAAAATGTGCCTTCTATTTTGTATAAATTCTTAACCTACCAGAAATATATGCTAATTTTAAAATGTCTATCTGGAAAATAGTTACCACGAGACTAAATCTAGTTCCTGATAATTTTAAATTAAATTTAAAGCAAATAGCAGATTTAAATTTTGTTGGAGGTATTAGAATATTTGTTCAGTTTTATGCAAAAATTCATTTGAGACTTGTGTCTTATAGCACAGATTAGATACTAAACTGAGTTAATAAGAAAAAAAATTGTTAAGTCAAAGAAAATGAAAAGTGAGATGCACACCTAAAAGTTAACAAACATGAGATTATACAATACAAAACAAATAAGTAAGCAGTTGTAAGCAATTTCACTTGTATACTTTAAATTGTTCATGAAAAATTTTGGAAACAATATTAAGTGCAAATTTTTTTAATATATGTTATCATTTGAAAGCCTGAAATACTTAAACTATTCCAAAGTATACATTGATAGTTCTATAAATGGTACAGTAATACCCCACTAACTAAATTCAAAGCAAAAAACAAAGAAAT